TAAAAATAAAAATTAACGGAAAACGCCCTAGTGGACGAATTAATGAAAAATTAACAAATAAACTAAATAAATAGTGAAAAATTAATAATTGTAAAAAGATCTCCACGCAGTGGACAATGAGTCGGCGTCTCTATGGTTTATACAACCGGTTTTCATGTGCGCTTTATAGATTTCCAACCTCTCCAGATGCTTGATCGTTTGTCTATTAGTCGTCGTTTTTATAATTGATGCTTGATCCCATTGTACGTCTATATCCTGTTGCTTTGCGTACGATGCCAAGACAGTGTTATCAAGGTTCTTATCGATTGTGTATTTATGTTCCTTGAGCCTTTGCCCAGATCTAATAACATACACATTGTATACCGGCGCAACCCCACTATTTTCAAACTTTTGAGAAACGATAAAAAGAAAGAGGATCGGAATTCAACAATGGGTATATATTTGGTACCTTTACATGATCAACGATTTGATTCCAGGCTAGTTTACGTGGGTGCGATGATGCATGGTCTGAAGCAAAGGCTCAAGGAACATAAATACACAATCGATAAGAATCTTGATAACACTGTCTTGGCATCGTACGCTTTGCGTACGATGCCAAGACAGTATATAGACGTACAATGGGATCAAGCATCCATAAAAATGACGACTAATAGGCAAACGATCAAGTGTCTGGAGAGGTTGGAAATCTATAAAGCGCACATGAAAACCGGTTGTATAAACCATAGAGACGCCGACTCATTGTCCACTGCGTGGAGATCTTTTTACAATTATTAATTTTTCACTATTTATTTAGTTTATTTGTTAATTTTTCATTAATTCGTCCACTAGGGCGTTTTCCGTTAATTTTTATTTTTATATTTATTTCAAATGCATTTTATGTTCTATATTTACTGTTCTATTTTTGGTAACTGAAGATGATCGTTGAAAAACGATTGAAAACGTTTTTATTTCATTAAATTTTGCTGGATTTATATCGGTGTAATGTATTTTTCAACTTCTCCTATCTATGTAATGATATCATTTCAGAGAATTTTGATGCTTACACATGACATGACAATCATCATCTAATAAAGTATAAAATTACTTTATAGTAATGAGAAAAGCAGTAAGTTTTGACAGTTAAAATAGTTATATACATACACATATCAACATCTCAAAGCCAGATGCTTTAATAATAAACCAAAATGGTTGCCAAAATTTAATCAGGCTACTTTACTACTACTATTAATAATTAAATTCTAAGTAATTTACTCAGAATTTAATAATTAATAGCAGTTATAAAGTAATCTGATTAAAATATTACAATTATTTGGCTTATACTTCTATACATTTAAAAGTATAACCCTAATTTGACTGTAAAATATTTCTTTTTGTTTACACATACTAGCATTACTTTTTGCTATTTGTTAATGAATTTGAAACTAAAAATCATGCAATTATAATTTTGTTTTATTTTCTTCATTTTTGAACTCTATAGCCATGCTTGCCAAACTATGGCTCATAAGCTGCACACAGCTCTTCTAGATCATTACTTCAGCTCCTGTATACTATGGAACTGTGTGAATTATAGTATTTTAACTTATAATGTAAAATACCATTCCAATAATTTGCTTATCAGAAGATAAGCAATGTATGGCTTCCTTTACAACAAGGTTTTGCCATCGGTGTTCTACAGTGTAGAATTCAGCAGAAATTAATTAAAGTAACATTTGTATATAATTTAAATTATTATTAAATAACTTTTGAGTCAGAAGACAATAGTAAAATAAATTTTTATGTAACATTTTATAAACAGCAATTAAATGAAGGAAACAGACTTTCTGCATCCTGTGGCTGGCCTGATCATCATAAAAAAATCAAGTTTTTACAATAAAAGGAAGTGCATTTTTTATACACTGGTGTGCAAAACTTAAGCAATCACACAATTTTTAAGCAGATAGCCATGAAATTGTAAAAAAGGGCTTATTGTGATTAGTACAATAAACACCCAACTCAGTATTCAGGTGATTCATATTCAGGAAGAAGACATCACAGATGACGTGAAGGCATGTTGAATGTGTGCAGTAAGCATGCACAGTGCAAGATTACAATAAGAAGGAGGCTTTAATTCCATACTGTATGCATTCTATTCATTTTTGTGCCAGTATGCTTTCTTCATCCTCTACGTACAAATACTGTCTCTGCATTCTGACTTTCGTGTCTCTCAGGTGATTTCTTGCAGAGTTATGGCAGAAAAACAATTGCTGCTTAAGTTTTGCACACCAGTTTATAAGCCAAAGGAAAAATTTTTCATTTTTATTACATTGTTTCATATCTGTTTTATTATCAAATAACATTAATAAAATAATAAAATGTTAAAATAAATAAGTTAAATAGAAAATAATTTTAAGCTCAGTTCAAATAGAAAGCAAACTGCTGGTGAAAAGTGAAATGATGAATGAATATTGCAAAGATAGTAGTGTCCTTTCTGTCAATATTTTGTTTTGCAAATTGTAATCACATTTTAAAATGTTGAACTTTTCTTCTAGTAATAATATATGTCACTAATTTGAATGAAAAATTTTTTGAAATAAGAAAAAACAAGATTTAAATATGGTAGCTACAAAGAATATACTTTCTAATTATATTCTTATTATAATTAATTGTAAATTTTCTTTTCAATAAATAAATGAGTAAAGTAAGTATAAAAAACAATTTGTTGTTTTCAACAATATTCTTGTTTTAAGGACTTTCACAAATGACTGCTCATTTTCCAAAATGAAAATAGAAATCAAATTTTCTATGCAAAAATTAAATTTGTTTTTGCACTCTGCTTTCTCTTTCACTAATGAATATCTACCTGAACTAAGTTTAGAATCAACCCATGAGAACCTTATATCCCAGTAATGACAAATTTTAATTAAAACTAATGTTTTCAACCATAATCATGGTCTTCCTCAGAATTTTGACCAGTAAAATTTGAATACAGAGCGCATCGAACAATATGTTTAAATTATTTTAAAATTCCGAACATTTAAAAGTTAGAAGATAATTTTTTTTAGCCGTATGTGCTACAATAGTGATAAAAACATCCTTACAACACAACAAATAAATAATAAGATGTACTTAATGGTGTAGAATAGGTATCTAATGTTGCTTGTTTTCTCTCATAGCACCGCCACCATGCATAAGAAACATTAGTGGCATCCTTTATACAGTTGCCGGCCAGTCCTGTTTTGTATATTTATAAAGCTTCCAGATTGCGAAGGTACTCAACTTGACATGACATTTTCACTAATTTGGCCTTATGGCGGTTGGCTTGTATTTTGGGGTCTGTGGTGTAGGCGGCTAGGACCAGGCCCGCCGTAAGCGGGCGTGCAAGGCGTGCACCGCACGTCCAGGGGGGTGCACGCCTTGGCACGTCCAGGGGGGGCGGCAAAGAGCCTTTCTGGCAAGCTCAGCGTAGGTAGTCGTTGTTAAACAGGGGGCGGCATAATCGGTATTGCACACGGGCGTTCAAACAGCTGGCGGTGCCCCTGGCTAGGACAGTGGTATACCTTTGGTTGGCGATATCATACCTAGGGTATACGTCAATACTGTGACAATGTGTGCTGATTGCTTTAAATGTGTGTTTTGCACTGAGCTATGATGTTAGTGTTAAGTTTAATCTACTGTTGTATTCTTTCATTAGTTTCTATTTAATTTGTACATGTTATGTAAGTTTGGCCTGTTCCAATATATTTATAGACTTTGACCTCATCCATGGTTTCAATGACCTCTCCACTTTGAGGTGCAAAGTCTTCCTTCTTCAGGATTCTTTTTCCAGTGTAAAGTGTTTTGCATTATATATATATTATTATTATTATTTGATAAATAAAACCAAAAAATGAAGTAATGTGATTAAAAAATTATATCATTTAGTATGCATTTGTACCTGATAAATAAAGTTTAGCTACCATCTCAGTATTATTTTTCATTTCATTTATTTCATAATTACATCTGCAATGACGGGTGATAAAACAAAATGTTTTGATGTGTGAATGGTACCTTCTGATGCAATTCAGTGTCATANTACCGTTGCATGATAAAAGGCTAAAGAAAGAGTTATATTATATAGGAGCCACAAAGAGATCATTAAGAGAAAGATTGAAGGAGCACGAAAAAAATATAAGATCTAAACAACCGATCACGGCTTTGGCCAATTATGCTATCGCGGATCCTGCAGAGATTACAATCGAATGGAGCAAGGCGGATATTGTACAAAAGATCGATAATATACGACATCTAAAGTATGCAGAGGCATGGCACATTTATAAATACAGAGAAAAGGGGCTTAATATAAATTTTCGAGAGTCAAGTAGAATAGCAACGGCATGGAGAGCGGCGGCATTATAAAGAGCTAATGGACATGCGCGATCGAATATCTGAAGATTATAGAACGTGCGTGGTTCGAATTACCGTTGAGAAAGTTCAAATTTTTAAAATATTTTACATCAATCCTGAAGAAGGTCTATAAATTAGACCGAAAACGTTAGAGAACTGACAAAAGTAGACTGCATTTTAAAGGTATAGTGAAATGTAGTAATTAATTAATGCAGTTAGAGATTTAGTAATTTATCATTTAGTATGCATTTGTACCTGATAAATAAAGTTTAGCTACCATCTCAGTATTATTTTTCATTTCATTTATTTCATAATTACATCTGCAATGACGGGTGATAAAACAAAATGTTTTGATGTGTGAATGGTACCTTCTGATGCAATTCAGTGTCATATTTTCAATATCTATTCTGGGGTGTGGAGTATATGGTGAAATGGATTATGCAAAGGTTTCACTTTTATTCTACCAATTTTCTGCAGGATATGTGGATGTGTCATTGTTAGTTATTTGCACAAAATAAAGATATAAATAAGAATTAAAAACAGTAGTTTACATTAATCATGACTATTGTTCAAAGAGGAAACAAATCTTTATGCAAGAAATAGTAACCAAAGAGGAAAATATATTCCAATATAAGTACCTTTTGAAATCATTTGCTAATGATAAATGATTTTAAAAAATAAGCTCTCTGCAATCATTTACTTTATAGCAGAGTGTTAAATGATGGAAATGATGTAAATTGTTATCAAATCATTTTGGAATATTCTCATATTTTTAAATTCTTACTATATGATGTCAACTGATATCAAATTACAGCTCATATATTGGCAATAATTTCAATTACATTTACATATAATAATTATTTTTGATTATACAGTAGAGCATCGATTTTCCAAAAGTCAATCATCCGAAAGAATTTCAGTCGGCAAATTTAAATTTTCGCCAGTGCTGTGGCGCTTCAATCTTTGGCTATGTCTTGGGCTACTCAAATATTTTACGTTTTTGATACTAAATTAACATCTGAAGTATAATTTTTTATTATTTTTATATTTTTCAATATATTTATTTTGTTTGTACAAAATAAAAAAATAATTTTTAACGATACAATAGTCTTTGTTAGGCTTAACATCGACGAAAATTCAACACGAAGCGACACGCAACGGAGAAAAATTTCGAAATCGGATACGTTAAACTATTTTTTCGCACGTAAATCAGTTATCCGAAATATCAGTTATCCGGACAACCCCAGTCCCCAATTGATTCGGAAAATCGACGCTCTACTGTATTAAATTGCCATTAAATATTTTGTCCAAATTTCTTTATTCATTAATTTATTTTAAATAGTATATGTAAAGCCTGAAAATCAAAAATCACTACTCCCAGTTGACAATACCAAACCCTTAAAAAACCAAATAAATAATAAAAGAATAAACAGAGAACACAAACATAATGCATGGAATATGTTGCCTAATACATTACAAAACCAAAAGATAAAATACAAAGTTTAGAAAAGGTTATGCAATAAACTATGAAAATGTAGTAATGAATTATTATAAATGTGCAAAATTTCTATGTTAAAGCATATTTTTACGCATTCAATTAATATATATGAAAATATTTTCAGCGTTTCTACACCAGCTTCCTCTACAAAAATTCTTGTAATGGAACACTGAATGTTACGGAATTGAATAACAATTTAAATTAAAATTAATACATAAACATAAATATTAAATTATCATTTAAAATAAATTTAAATAAAATACTATACAAAATTAACTGAAAATAAAATAATAAAACTAGTCAAAAAAATGAACATTAAAGTTTTACATTTAAGATTTTAAGCAATATAAACACATTACATCCTTATAATCTTTTAAGTGATAATTTTCATCAAAAAGGCGTCAAAATGGTCACATTAGTGAACAACAGTAGTTATGAATATGCAAATAATCTAACTTATTGGTTATATATGCAGTAAAAAAGTTTTTTGTAGCTATCAGTACACCAAAATTTTCACCAACTCAAGTATATCTCTAGCATTAATCACATTAACATATTTAGATAATACCTGTATATAAATATCTGCTCTAACAATCTAATGCAGTTTCCCAAACTTTTCAGACTACAACCCCATTTTAGTACATATATTTCATATATACCGTACTTACTCATGTATAAGACAATCTTGCATATAGGACGAGGTGTGACTTTAAAGATCAAAATTTAAAAAATTAGATTTATTAATACAAATCTAATTTTATCCAATTCTAATTTTATTTCATTTAATCACAAATAAAATATCAAATGCCCGTAAATGTACACATTGTCCTGCAAATATTACTATCATTTTAAACCTTAAGGAAAAATCTTGTAAAATCAACATAATTTGTTCATGTAAATATTTAGAATTTGCTGGACAATCGAGAATCTTTCTTGCCAATTCTTAACAGTCAAATCCACTCTCCATTGATTACACTTACGACTTTCTCCGAATTCTGATTTCTGAATAATCATGTTTTCACGCGGGAATGGATTAAAACTTATATTGAACTCCCGTGTGATTTAGAAATTTCAATATTGAATTCAAAAGCTTTGCTCTTCCTATTGCTATTCATCTTTACTCCTGAAAATACACAAAAACGATTCAAATAACCCAGATAAAATACTTTTGTTTTTAAACACCAGTGTGAGCATCCAGTTAAAAGTGCGAATAAGCAGTTTACAAAAATTATTGCAAAAATCCTTCGCTCACGCATATAGGATGACCTAGGTTTTTGAAGTGGTGAAAAATAAATAAAAACCTCATCTTATATGCAAGTAAATACAGTATATATATAAAAAACCTCATCTTATATGTGAGTAAATATTTATTTATTTTTTATCTATATATATATATTTTATTTTAAGATATATAATATACATACATAAGATAAGATATATATATATATATATATAATATATATACATATAATATATATGTATTTATATATATACATACATACATGCATATAATTTCAAAATGTCTTTCAACACTTCTACTCCTTGCCTTCTAGCATTCACTTTAGGAATCACTAATCTAATGGAGTGGCCCTCTTTCATTTTGGTAAATAATAATAGAAACATTTCAATACACATCATACTGAAAATTGTTTGATTGTAGATAAATTGCTTGATATTTTTTTGTCATGTAAGTATCACTTTCTTTTCTAGATAATATTCATTGTAAAACTTTTTCTTTTGAAATTCTTTTGCATAATATAAGGAGTGTAATGAAGTATCTTTAAAATTATTGTTTCTACTAATTGAGATAAATGATCTTTTACTCTCTAGTTTAAAGAATGAATAATAGACTAATTTAGTATAAATTTGTGGCTGTATGCCATATTTTTGTATAATTTTAATTTTATATTCTATATCTTTTAATCCTATTCCTCTTTCCAATTTCCTTTGTTCTATTGTTTTCAGACTTCCAAGAAATCCTGACTCACTCCTTTCCCCACCAGGGTGTGGGAAGTAAACAATAGGTTACGGCAAGGCTAGAGGGCAAAAACCTGAATTTGAGTCGACATTCTTTGGCTGGACACAGAGAGAGAAAGACATGTAACAGCAAGGCTCGTGAGTTTGAAGATTGATGAGCGCTGGTAAGGAGGGCCTTAGAATGAGAGATCCAGGAGAAAATTAAGTAGCCAGACCTGGAGGTAAATCCCTCACAGAAGTTACAATTCTGGAGAGAAAAGAACTTATGAGTAACTTCGAAGTCAGACCTAGGATTCACATTGAGATATTTGCAGAGAAATTGGGTGCCCCTGTCCTATCAATCCTTCTTTCTTCCCCTTCTATCCATCCGCCTTCTAATTAGTTTTAAGTTAGGTTAAGAATCGCGCACGATCATTACATAAGACTTATTGTATTAATATTATCAGGTTGGTAATTGTGATGAAATCAATTACGCGAATTACCATTGTATTGTTAGCACAGAAGGACTTTGGAAGTTGTACAAAGAGCAGGAATCTGAAAAGAATCTGTAAATAATCTATTTTATCATGAAATTAAATTTGTTTTAATTGGATATCACGCTTCAGTGTAATTCATTGTGTGTTGAACCTCTTACAAATTCTCCTGGTTTTTGACAAATTTGGCATATCCCAGCTTTATCCATATCTTGTTCTATCCTTATTTGATTTCAACATTTGCATTCCAGAAGACAAATGCATAACATAAAGTTTCATATTCACTTTATTTATGTATGAAACAAAAATTGATACCAGGTATTTGCTAGTAACAATAAATCTTTCTACTTTGTGGCAGTGTGGCAAGGTTGCTATTATTAAATTCTTGTCACATATGTATATCAAGGAAACATGGGTGATTGCCCTGTTAATCAGAGTGGAAGATAGCTAATTTATGTCCTATTGTATCATGTGAATACCATTTATATAAGAATCTGCTAATGTATGCTTGTGAAAAGTTTAGTGCAATATCTTCCCTGTGATTTGAAGATTTAGATCTAGATTAGTGATGGCAAACCTTTCCTGAAGATGGTTCAAAATTGAATTCAAAATTTAATAGCTTTAAATTGTATGTCAAATATTTAATTTGAGTACTCTTAAAAAAAATAAAGAACATTTATAAGCATTTTGTTAACTTTTATTGTTATTATTCTGATAGAGATTAAACTCTGTATATGAAAAAAAATACCGTATTTACTTGTGTTTAAGATGACAATCTTGCATATAGGACAAGATGCGACTTTAAAGATCAAAATAAAGAAAATTAGATTCATTAATACAATTCTAATTTTATTTCATTTAATCACAAATAAAATATCAAATGTGCATAAATGCACATAGTGTCCCACAAAAATTACTGGCATTTTAAACTTTAAAAGAAGTCTTGTAAAATCGACAACACAATTTGTTCATGTAAAGTTGGACAATTGAGAACATTTTTTGCCAATTCTTAACAGTCAAATCCACTCTGTCAATTACACTTATGAGTTTCTCTGAATGCTGATTTCCAAATAATCATCTGTTTTCACATGGGAATGGATTAAAACTTATATCGGGTACCTGTGTGATTTTGATTCACCAGGGGAAAGTGAGGAGGACAAGCCAGGACCACGGAAGTGAAGTGTATGAAGGTAGTAGAACTTTATTTTTCTATCCATTTCCATCCAAGTTTTGGAAAGGACTCTTAAGAACAAACTATTGAAGGAATGTGCTATTATTTGGATACATCAAGGTGAAGTAGTTAGTTTTTGTGCAAAAAGGAATTATGGGAAAATTTTGTATTTATATCACTTCACATGTTTCATATTGTAATTTTTTGGTCTTTGTACAAATTAAATCCGATTCTTGTTAGTTCTGTACTATTAGGCAATATATTCCTGACAATACACAAGAACGATTGAAACAACCCAGATAAAATACTTTTATTTTTAAACACCAGTGGGTGAGCATCTGTAAAAAATAGGAATACACAATCAGGGCCGGATCATCGCATAGACAAATGAGACAAATGTCTAGGGCCAAACTGTCATTTTGAAAAGATTTGTAAATAAGATAGTTTACTTTTCTGTTGGACAACTGTATATAATAGCCAAATAAAAAAAAAATATATTGCTTTTTATATGGTTATTGTGAATTCTAAAATCTAAAGAAAATGTGTTCTTATGTTTCTTCTTATTGAAAGTAATTCATTCTCGGTATTAAAACGTGTAAAAAATTATTTACGACACTCACAGAGTGAATCAAAATTAAATTATTTAGCTGTTTTATAC